TTCCTTAGACTTTTCTATTCTGACTTCCTCATCATCTGCTATCAGATCTAAGCTGGAATGATTGGACTGAAGGTGAGGATATTTTAAAAGATAATGTCTTGCTATACTGTGATGAGTCAGTGTCACTATCTGATCTACTTACAAATAATTTTCTTTTAACCCTTTAATTGGCAGAACAATCAAAACAATAAAATTGAAGTTTTAACAACGTGATTCGATTTCTAGCACTTCTTGGACATAGTAAAAAATAGAAATAAAATTCTGAACCTTTCAGGTTTCTGAAAACGATATGTGAAGTATACTGGACACTACCAAATACTTAGCAATGAACAGACTGAAATGTATGTAAGATAAATAATTATAATAATGGAAAAATAAATGAAAAATTGATTTTAAGTATTAATTAATATGTTTATTTTTTATGAAAATTTAAAAAACAATTTCTTTTTCCGGCGACAAAACATAGTCTTTGGTTACATTTAATACATATAACATTTGTTTTACCATCCTTACAGTAGCGGCATCTCCCATAACTACATGAATCGGGAAAATGGCCTACTTGATCATAGCGAATTTCTTCAATTGGTCTCGCTACTACAGGTTTCTTAATTTTTCTTTCTTCTTTTATATCTTCTGTAAAATCACTCCGTTCCTTAACTGGTTTTCCTTTTTTCAGAAGACTTTCATATATATCTATCCTGAACTCTTTCAACGATTTTTCCTTATTTTTATTTTGCCGATACAAAAGCCATGCATTATTGATGCATATATCAATCAACTGGGCAAAAATGGAAAGATACCATCGTCGTGTCTTTAGAGGAATCTTGTAAAGGGATATTAGCATATCAGCCAAATCGACCCCACCCATGTTTTTATTATAGTTTTTGACTATCTTAGGACAGTCAACATCAACCTTTGCTTTATGTTCTTTGCTATAACGTTTTATTTTATCCACGGGGTGAGAATCGACACAGGAACTAATAAGTGTAACACATTTATTGTCTAACCATTTCACCACTGCCAGTTTATTTTGGTTACAAACTCCTTGCGCGAAACTGCCTCGTGGTTTCTTTTTAAGGTCTTTGTCAGAAGGAAGTACACTCTCGCAACCTCTTAGCCGGTTTCCTCTTATAGTACCAGTGCAAAATATTCCGTAATTTTCACGCAACATGTATACGAGCTCAGGTGAAGTAAAAAAATTATCACAGTATACATTGGCAGGTTTCTGGCGAATTGTTTTACACAAAGCAAGAACAACTAGCCCTCCTAAACCTATAGAAATCTCATCCTGTGTGAAAGTATAATTTCTAAATGTGTCCTCCCCTCCATATAAAATAAAGTCATAGATTAAGCCTGAAGCTCCCGCGCGAACGAAGTTTTTAAACCCCCACTTATTTGGTTTATTTTGAATATATTGTCTTCTATTTCCCGCCTTGGTCCCTTTATAGGGAATCATCATCTCATCTATACTGAAATTTTGTTCCTCGTGTATCTTCAGGCAGTTTTGCCTAATTTTTTCCACTACTGGCCGAACTTTGAAGTATCTATCACCGTCGTCCAAATTATTATCGATAAAATGTATGTAACGTCTAATTGTTTGATATCGCTTTAGTGGCATGAGATCGGCGATATTTGTAAATCTAAGTCTGCGGCTCCAATAATCAGTGTAGCTAGGCATTTGTACCACACCCATCAAAATTTGTATTGCAATAAAAGTTAGAAACTCTTCATGAGTTAGTTGTATGGATCTTCCTTTTACCTGAACAGAGTACAGATTCGATTGATCTACTATGTCTTTTATTATATTTGGTGAAAAAAAACGATAAAAGAACGAAAGAGGTTGTTGTTCGTCTTCACTCGGCATCAGCGGCGTAATTTCATCAATCTCAGCCCGATGAAAAAATAAATCCTTCTTCCACTTATAACTCAAAACAAATTTCTTAGTCGATTTGACTTTTTTTGAAATCACTTTCTTTTTCTGCGCTTTTTTACGTTTTCTAGTGGAACATGTATCAATGGATGGTTGGCCAATTTGCACTGAACCAAGTGATGGTAAAGAACTTATAGAAGGGATGGCATCGTAATTTGGTTCATTTTGTGATGGAAAAACATTTTGTAAAATTGGTGTGAGTGGAATTGAATTGTTATCTGTATTTTCATCTTCGGAAGATTCTAAAATATTCAAAGCTTCTAAGGCGGAATCGACTGAGATTAAGCTGCTATCATCGGAAGAATCATGGTTATTCAAAGTTTTATTTGTAAGTTCAATTTCTTCGGTAGACGAAGCGTCACTGGAATCGGAGCATGCATGTTCAGGCGGTATCAAAGCAACTAGTCTATGCGTGCGGGAGCGTATCAATCGCTAAAACAAAAGGAAAAAGCTCATTTGATACATGCAACCATCACCAAACCAAAATACTAATTAGTTGGCATTGTCCAACCCACTTCCCAAACAAAAACAGTGATAGCATTGTGAGCAATTGGCAGTGTGAAGTATACTGGACAACTAGTTTTAAGTGCAATTTACAACGTTATTGATGCAGTACTGAGTTATTATTTGATACCATATAATAAACCGTCACTTTGAAATTATATATAATGCATAGCGAACCCATGTAAACCTTTCTATATATGAAAAAACATTGAAAAACTTACCTGTGTTGCATTAACCGACCGTTGCTTCGACATCGTTTTGATTTTTGACATATTTAGATGTTGCCAGGTATCTAATTTATTTTTCTACCAAATGCTTACGATATTGTGGAGTTATCAGAATAAAAAAATTGTTGGTATAATCAGTATACTCGCTTACAAATTTACTTTTTATTGGTGTCCAGCCGGCTACACTCTGTCAATTTAGGGGTTAATGTTTGAAACACTTGGTAAAGTTAACTTTTCACATGTTTCTATGTACTTTAAATGGAGATGTAGATACCGCTTTTGTACATGTTTTGGATGGAGATGTTGATACTGATTTTGTCCATGTTTTGGGCGGAGAAGTTGCAATGCTCTGAGATTTGTATGCTGTTTGTGTGCACTTGCTTCTGAAGTATTTACTTTTTAAGAAAACTTGTACACTTTTTTCTTGACTTTTAGGGTGTTCTGTTGTTTCTTGGGCATGTAAATCCACAACATTATGTTGGCTTGCGGGATGATGTTCGATCATGACAGTATATAAACGTAAAACAAAAGTACAGACATTACTGACTCGTGACATCCCATCTAGATGTAAGATGTAAATATTTTTTTAGGGGATTTTTTCAACAATAAATGTTTAAGAATTTAGGTAAGCAGGTTTAAAACTCTAAAATTATTACTAGGGATAGATGTAGTACTTTCTTCTTCTACAATATCAGCCTTTAATTTATTTTCTTCGAGGGCTTCTTGTATTGTTGCCAATCTTTGCCTTTTTATGCCTATTTGTTTGTTGTTGAAGGCAAAATCCTTTTTCTGTCATTTTTCAAATGACAGGTTTTCAGATTTCAAAGGACACATAATTTGCCCGGTGATATAGGGCGCATTGACTGTACCCATATTGCAATAACAAAACCGTTTGAGGAGGAGCACATATTTTTTAATAGAAAAGGATATCATTCCTTAAATGTTCAAATGGTAAGCTGCTGGATAAATTCTAATCATAATGTATATGTGGTTAACAAAGTTCTCTGAAACTATGTATGTATAAATAAAATAACCCTTATTTATAATATGAACTCAATGGAGAATGTAAGAGGAAGCCTATATGCCAAGCAACACAGCGAAATAAAGGGTTATTGTATACATAGTGAAATCTATAAAATATATTTTGTAATACCTTAATTCGAAATTAAATCCCTTAGTCTGCGGGTACGAAACTAGCGACGGGCGGAGCGACGGCGGGGCGGCGCGACAGCGATGTAATCATATGCATTAAAACATTAAGCGCTGTGTACGAAACGGGCGACGGCAGAGCGGCGCGATCGAGCGATGCACGGGCGGCGGTAGAGCGGTGGCGGGGCGGGGCGACGAAAACAAACTAGTTTGGTTTCGCCGCTCGCGCGGCTACGTAGTGTTGCATTTTTATCATATCTATATAACACGGAAATTATGGAAATTGATAATGAAGAATTAATATCTTCTATTTTATCAAAACCGGCTATATGGGACAGTAAAAACGGACACCATAAAAACAAAAAAAAAATGTAATAAAGTGTTGGGAAGAAATCAAACGCCATTTCGGGAATGTTGAAGGTAAGTGTAATTTTCATGTTACAAATTGTTATTTACAACATACTCTTTAAATTTTTCCCTTACATTTATTGCTAAATTTCCCGCGTGGTTGTTTCTGCGATGTCGGCGAGTTTCATTCACATTTGTGGTTATGTTATTTGAGGTTATGTTTGAGTAATGGTAATCGTTGGAGCCATCTCGATCAATTATAATATTATGCAATAAGCACGTTGTTTTAATTATTAGGCGAGCGTGTTTGCAATCAGTTTCTATGGCTTTATTTAAAATTCTCCACTTGGCACATAGGATACCGAATGCACATTCAACGCATTTTCTCGCTCTTGATAATCTTTTATTAAATATTTCATTCTGAGGATTCAGTACGCTTTGTGGATATGGTCGCATCAAATATTGTTTTATCCTCATTGCAATTTGGTTCTTTGTGAAAACCAAACAATAAGTACCTATAGTTTTAGATATGTGATTATGACTTGCGCATCATAAATGTGAATTCAAAATTTGGTGGAGCAACACATGACTCACACATATATGGTCTGCAAGTTACGTGAGCACATACATAGAAGGTAAGTTTTTACATATAGGTATTGTAAAATCCCTATACACCATGCAGTAATTACACTATATTTAAGTGAGCATGACTACAAATAAACAACGATTATTCAATCCTTTTTTAGAACTGGAGTAGACTATTAACAAAAATATATTTCCTTTTTTTAGGAACTTCTGGCTACCCTCTACGGCCCTGGTTGATGACGTCTATTAATTGTATAGGTAGCGTCATCCTCGCTAATAGGCCATTTTCTTATATCAACAATAAATTATGAAATTATATTACTTGGATAGTTTTCATCACGGAAAATGCAAATATAAAGTTATTTTCCCATGAAAACCTAAGGTTAATTTTATTTTTCAAAATTAAAATTGAGGTTTCATTATCTGTATGTCACGTGATTGAAAACGCCGACCGCCATGATGTGACGTCAATTTCACTAAAGCTCGTCGTCCGTCACTCGTTTTACAAACAACAAACTACTTACCTACCAGCGCTCATAGAAATTTAATATTTTTATTGAGTTTAATGTGTTTTGAAGCTTAAATTTAAAAGATTTAATATTTTAATACGTTAGTTTTACTTAATTAAAATGGACGTCGGTTTTGTAAAAGCCGAAAGTACTAATCTCCCGAAAATAGATGCGGTAATGATTGCAAAGTTCTTTGCGTGTAATACCGACTTTTTTTCTGCCGAATGCAGAAATATCAAAACAGCTATGTAAGTATAATGTATTTAAATTACAACTTGTATTTAAAACTAAATAGTTTTATTGTGTATGAAAGTATCCTTACGTGTTTTGAGGTTATGTGTAAACAATAAGTAGGTATCGTAACTTTTCATCTTTTTTTATAGGTCAGCCAGAGAAACGTATGGCGATGATGCTGTTGGGTATGTGCAGCTGAAAAGAGATCAGCAGACATGCGTTGTCAAATGCAAAATGTGTCCTGAACACAAAGTGCGTTCCAAGCCATACTCTTGCACACTTACTGTTGATGAACAGGAAGAAGAAATTAAAAGTGTAGTATGCCATGACTGTCCAGCATCTGAAGGTGGTTGTAAGCATGCTGTTGCTTTTTTAATGTGGTGTCATCGTCGGAGTGAAGAGCCACCTTGCACTGCTATTGAGTGCTATTGGAGGAAATCTACTTTATCTAAAGTTGGATCTTCTCTAAAAATATTACTTGCTAAGGACATATTGAAGAAAAGAAAAGGAAGTAGTACTCAAACCCCAGAAGTAGCACCACATAAAAGTGTCGCAGAAATCTTTGTGACTGAATGTAAAAAAAGAAAAATAAGCTCATGCCAGCTGCTCAAACATGAGATTAACTATGCTGAAAAAAAAATTAATATGCTTTCTTTACATTATTTGATGTGCAAATTTAATGAAAGACTGGATTGTAATTCATTTTTAAATAATATCAGTAGTGTATTTAATGATATTAACTTAAGAAATGCTGAAAAAGAGACAAGGCACCAGCATCAAACAAGCTTTTGGTATGAGCTACGTTATGGAAGAGTTACAGCATCAAAATGCTACGAAGTGAGCAAATGCAAAACTGTGGATGGCTCCTTAGTAGCGGCTATTCTTGGAGCAAGGACTCCACTAACTTCAGCAATGAAAAGAGGGCAAAAATTAGAAGAAAAAGTAAGGAAAACAGTAGAAAAAAAATTGGGCCATAAGATTGAAAAATGTGGTCTTTCTATTTCAGAAACATATCCTATGATTGCAGGCTCACCTGATGGCATCTATAAAAAAAGTACTTTGGTAGAAATAAAGTGCCCAACAAGTGTAAAAACTTTAACAAATTATATTAAGGATGGTGCTGTGACCAAAAAATATATGGCACAAGTGCAAATGCAAATGTTCTGTGCAAAAGCAGAAAAAAGTTTTTTTTTGTGTTGCGAGTAGTGATTTTGAGACTTCCAATGATGTCAGTATTGTAGAGGTGCAGTATGATAGAAAAGTAGTACAGGAACTTTTGGACAAAATTGTTCCTTTTTGGAAAAATAATATATATCCAATTTTGTATGAAAGTACCAAAATATAGAACTTGTAAGTATTTATGTGTATTGTTTTATTTTATATGCTTTAGCCCAAGGCTTCTACCACTAGCTACAGTACCTTGTCTTAGGATGAATCTTTATTACCTATGCCCCCGGACCTCAAACCACACCTTAGATAAAATCCTCAAACTTATCTCCTCTATACTGAGTTTTAACCAAACTTGTTCATAGGATAAAGAGAAAAGAAGTAACAGACAGACTGCCAGAGTTACTTTTGCATTTCTAACTAGCTCATGCAAGTTACCAAAATCATGAAAAACCTAATATTTCTACTACATGGTTATATCAATTACATACTGTCCACTTTAATGTAATAAATAGCATATGTCAATATCTGGTTTGAACAGTTGGCTGGGATATTATGGGTATAAATAAAAGTTTAAAAAAAATTGTATATGTATTTATTTAATAAGACTATCTTGTATGTTAATCAGAGCACATGCAGTAGTAATACATTCATCAAGAAGGTGAACTAAATTTATGTTAACCACAGAATGTGGTTTTAAAAAAGCAAACTCCCGGATTCTTCGGATCACCCTTTCCACATGAATCCGGAGGCTTGCTATTTCTTTTGTCTGACGTACCTCAGCTTTTGACAGTTTGGAACCACTACCAACACTTGGGGGCCTTAATAAAGTTATGTTCTTTTTAGACAAATATGTTTCAATGTGCTTGAATCCTCTGTCAGCTAAGACACATGTGTTTGATGGGAGAGTATCTAAAAATTTGGAGTGTTCGAATAAATGTACATCTGTTACTCTTCCGCCATATCCTGCAGATATAAAACTTATTAATCCATCTGGAGTACAAGCAACCAAATATTTTATTGTGTTGGCCTTCTTATACTCGGACCAAGTCAGTGCTTGGTGGACTGCATTAGTGGGTTTCTGTATTTCTATCTCCAAACAATCTATTATACAACTTACTTTATTATATCTATGTCTAAATGCTATTGGTAAATTTAATTTTATTGACTCCGTTGTAAACGATCTAATAAAAGGTAACATTACTTTACTGATTGGTATTATGTTGGTTGAAAAAAGTTTACTTGCTTGTGATAGTGACAAACCAAAACCATCAGATATTTGTGAAAATGAGCTATTTAGCCTAATTTTTGTCAAACACAACAAAATATTTGCCTCAGAAATGTTTGTCTGTGTTTGTATGATATTTAGTAAAAAATAAAGTTCCTTAGGGATACCAATATAGAGTCTAGGCTTTTTCTTTATTTTTAAGATTGTGTTTTCTAAGTTCGTTTTCTTGTCCCTCTGAATTTCTTCAGGCAAACTACTGTCAGATGTTGTGACTTTTATTGGAGAGAAGTCTTGACTCGTTGATCCAGATACTGATGGAGTAAATGATATCTCACTATCAGACTGGTCTTCGAACAAGGTAGACAATTTCCTTTTTGCTGGTCTTGTGATACCTGATGTACTTGGTACATCTATAGTGCTCATTTTAATGAGTGGTGAAGTGGCAACTGAGGTGCTTAACTTTATTGGAGATGTAGTGCTGTGCCGCACTTTTAAATTTATTTGTGTTGCTTTGCTTCTATAATGGGCAGATAAATGCACTTGGACAGCTTTGTATTCCATAACTGGCATTATCTGTACTTGAACTTCTTTATCTGCCTTGTGTGAAATATTTTCATCTTCCTCCACTTCCACAACATCTGAAAACAATAGATAAGAATCTGTAGAGCAGCCTTTCCATTGTAATAATTTAAAGTAATGCGATGGTGAGTGATCATCATTAAACTTAAGTTGAGTTAATAAAGTGGGCTGTATGGTTATTTATTAAAGCACTCTCTTCTGTTTGACTGGGATTACCTCTTGTATGACATGATGTAAATGGTGTTTGGCTGAGATTCACAACCTCTCTATGACACGATGTAAATGGTAGGATTTCAGTTAGAAACAAAATTTCCCTTTAGGTTTAAATATATTTTATCATTTTAGCACCATCAAAGCTTGGTAAATAAAATATACTTACGTGATGTTGATGAACCAGGTTGTACACTTGTTGAAGAGCTCTCTGCTTCCTGGCCAGGACTCACAATGGGTATATTATTAAACTTAGATGGTATAATGCCAGGTTTCATTCAGGCTAATTACAATGTGCGCGACCCACTCGCAACCCGACAAGCCCGTGACTGCCCTATGTTGCATAAATGCAACGTTGCAAAACCTATGCGGTGCATTGTCGTCGCTACACTGATTTTCTTTACTGAGCCCATTATTTTATATTGCATATAATTTTCCATGTCTTGCTCTAGCTAAAAACAAATGTTAATAATTATTGTAGGTTATTTAGCTAAGCAGAGCAATGATACCGAGCTATGTAGTAAAAATAACCTCAAAGTCTCGTTTACATAGTAAAAAAGAGAGTAATATCGTAATTTAAATAAAAATCAATAAAAAAAGCTTATGTACTTACGTCAAAGTGATCCTCACAAAGATATAAATGAGATTTCTTAGAATATTTTACAGGATCTCGTCCCGCGAGTTCCAACCAAACATTTCTCATAGAAACGTCGGTCGGCACATTAATAAATAACTTTTCTGGAGTCTTCAACGTAGAATTTTTACAATTCAACGCTACACACCAACGATATGGGCTATAAAAACTCATTTTTACTTGAAATTAAATTATATTAAATCACTACAAGAGTACAAGACAAACTGGCATTTTGACATTTCTTCATTTTAGTTTATATGACGTCAGTCGCCGCCACCATCATGGCGGTCGGTGTTTTGGCGCGTATATTTTAAGTCAAATTTTTGATATATTTTTTTTAACATTTAGCAGGTATATTTTGCAGAAATAAAAATAATCCTTGATTATCTGATATATATGAGCATTTTAAAAAATATTTGAAAAAATAGGAGAATAGCCTATTATACTAGTAGTAGGCACTAATCTGGGCACGCTGTCACAATATTTAAAGATGAACACATTCATAAAAAAATATTTATACTCTATGGTCATCTCACTGGCAACATCATTGTACTTCTTTGTGCACGACCTGTCACGTCGTACCCTGGAAAATTTTTCAATTTAATTTGGTGATTTTCCTACTAAATGGGTCGAAAACGTCGCAAGCAGATAGGAAAACTGATGGAGTGTATGCAGGAATTGGATAATTGGGCGAAACCGGCGAGAGGACGCATTCGTTGTCGTCAGTTGGGTAAGTTTTTTCTTGTAGGTACTTACACCACATTGTGGGGCGTTTTCCAATAGCTTCCACAAGCGGATAGCCTTGAGACTGATTGTGTACGCAACATACACACTTGAAACGTACCATAAGAGCCCTCAGGAGAGGTGAGCCATTGGCTACATGTTTACTGTAGATCGAACCACAAGAGCCTTCACGAGAGGTTGGCCGTTGGTAACTCTACTATAGAATTAACCACAAGAGCTTTCACGAGAGGTCAGCCGTTGGTTACTTGACTTTGAAGCAAACCACAAGAGCTTTCACGAGAGGTTAGCCACGGGTTTAAGTCACATTTAGTCAAACATTTCCAACTGCAATCCTAGAGCTTTCACGAGAGGTTAGCCGTGGATCATTTAAACTACCTTGCAGTTAGAAACTTAAAATCAGTTCGCTTTGCCTCAGAAGAACATGAAGCCATTCCAGTTGAAGCCGCTCACCATGGCATGGCACCGAAGCCAATCAATATGAGTTGATATTCACAATCCTATCGTCAATCCTATCGTCGATTATCGATGATGTTTGGATGACAAAGTTTTAGATTTTTTTATAGGCTAACTATAAACTGTACCTTAAGAACCAAACTTACATCTGAACCAGAATTTCATAGTGAAACGGAACTTAATTAATTTGCACATGACAAGTGTCATCTGTCAAATATATTGTAGGTTATGTTGAGCGCGTATGACGGTGTTGGTGTGCGATAAAAAGTGTCATTTTGTAATTGAGAAATAATACTAAAAAGGTGAGTACACTCATGAAAAAAAATATTACTACATTCTTTTAACTTTCTAAAATAAGGGTAAACATTAATTTTTTTGGTTTTTTGCTATCTTCATATGATTTGTTGCGCTTTTTCTAACCTGCCATATTTGGCTTCGTATGCATTTCACACTAATTGATCGCCGCCATATTTGGCTTGGTATGCATTACAGAGTGCTATTTTTGCTTTTTCAGAAATGGATCCCGCCCGCTTTTATGGCTATTATAAGCATGTTAACACTATACCTGGTGATGGAAATGAGAGTGAAGATGACATTGATTCCGATTGTGATGAAAATTGTTTTACAAAATCAACTCTTTTACCCCCTAGAAGACATATTATCATACCTGAGTCGGACTCTGATTTTTCTGAAGAAGATGACGTGCCTTTGAGTAGTTTACAGTCTGCATCTACTTCTAAATCCAAAGGAAAAGCTACAAAAACAAAGGTCAACTCGAAAAACGGAAAAATGCCAGCTTACGATGCCAATAATTTTAAATTGACTGCCTCGTTGGCCGAGTGGTCGCAAGTGCGACTGCCGGGCAAGGGGGCTCGATTCCCGGGTCGGGCAAAGTATTACTGGGTTTTTAAATATTCTCAGTAGTAGCACGGAGTCTGGAAATGTGCCCGGTATATGGCAATAGGCTCACCCCCTATTACATGGGACTCATAACATAAATTGTGAAAAGTGGGTGTAACTTGTGTGTGCACCTCTGCCTACCCCTTCGGGGATAAAAGGCGTGATGTTATGTTAATTTTAAATTTACGGGTAACACAGATTTACCTGACAGTATAAAAAAACTGAGTTCCCCTGCAGAAGTCTTAGAGTTTTTGTTTACAGCTGATATGATTAACTTTATAACTGAGCAATCTAACCTCAAATCTATTCAAGATAATATTAACAAACCAGCAATGATTACGAAAGAAGAAATAGAAAAGTTTATTGGTATCATCATTTTTATGTCTTGTGTGAAGTTACCGTCAACTAGGAAGTATTGGTCAAAAGAAGTAGGGCAGTCGCAGGTTTATGAAATAATGACGTGTAAGATTCGAATCTATCAAAAGATTTTTACATTTTAATAATAATGAAACTTTTGTACCTCTTGGACAAGATGGTCATGATAAATTGTTTAAAATTTCTGCTTTGCTGGACATGATTCGAGCGCGTTTGATGCTAGTCCCAAAAGAAGAGTATTTAGCCGTTGACGAGCAAATAATTCCTACCAAGTGTCGTCATGAATTGAAGCAGTATAACCCAGCTAAACCTCACAAATGGGGTTACAAAAACCTAGTTCTGAGCGGGGTTAGCGGCTTTAGTTATGATTTCGATATCTTTGCTGGAGATCAAAGCAATTCCTACTCTTCAGATGCGCCAGATCTTGGTGTAAGCTCAAATGTGGTAACTCGGTTGACATCTACAGTTCCACGACATAAGAATTACAAGATTTGTTTCGATAACTGGTTCAATAGCCCAAATCTTCAAGTATATCTTTTCCAGAGCGGTTTGCTACCCTTAGGAACCGTGCGACTCAATCGTGTGCCGAACTCAAATATGCCCACAGAAAAGGAACTCAAGAAGCGTGGTCGTGGAAGCATGGCAGAAAAGGTAGCAGTCATAAATAAAGTGAAGTTAAGTCTGGTTTCCTGGTTCGACAACAAGAACGTCAATCTTCTTTCTGCTTACGTCGGAAGCGAGCCAACCACAACAAAACGGCGTTATGCTCGACAGGAAAAAAAATATATTGATATTCCTTCTCCCCAAGCCGTCGATATTTATAATAAACATATGGGAGGAGTCGATTTACTTGACTCCATTCTGGGCTATTACAGAATCCACTTGCGGTCTCGTCAGTGGTACAAAAGGATTTTTTTCACATGCTGGACATGACCATTGTAAACTCTTGGTTGTTGTGGCGCCGAATAAATACAGACTCATCCTATATGCCTCTATTTGATTTTAAGCTAGCGATTTCAGAACACATGCGAAAGACAGGAAAAGCTCTTATGGTCAAAAAACGTGGCCGTCCCTCCAGCATCTTGGGAACTCCGACATCAAGCCGGGGTGGTACTCCCCTCAATGTCTCGCCAAGTAACTCGCCAGTACCTGCGAAAAAGCCACGAAAAACTCCTGCCAGACATCAGGATCTTCCGTTGGATTCTGTACGCTCTGATGGGATTAGCCATTACCCAATTTGGAAAAAAAATACCCGTCAACTATGCCAATATTGTTCCAAATTTCGTTCCTTCACATTATGTGAAAAATGTAATGTGTACTTATGTTACAACGACAAACGAAACTGTTATAAAGAATTTCATGTAGCATAAGCATATTTTTCCCCAACTGCATACGAAGCCATATATGACCGACCAACCATTGGTCAGACTGCATACGAAGCCATATATGGCGTCATTAAAAACCTTTTATTATATAAGCAAATAATTTTTTTTCTCACTTTGGTTTCATTATGTAAGGTAAAATAAAGACATACGTGCAAAAAAAAAATTTTTTTTTCATCTCCTTCATAATTCATGCAATAAGGGGTTAACAAACCTATTAAGGATTTTAAGGATACAGCCAGACTGTTCTGTAAATTATTAACATGTGCCCCTGAATGAAGATCAGAACACAAATAGGTGTTCTAGCTATATATACAGTATTAGTGCTTCAAGACAAGTTTATTGCAAGTAAAGCTATCAGAGTCTAAACTTGAATTGGAGAACATCCAAGAAAACCTTTTAGACTACCAACTTCATGCCAACCACATCAACAAACACTGTGTGATGTACAAACAACAAGTGTGTGTGTGTGTGTGTGTGAGCTACACATGATTACCAGATTAGTGCCTACTACTAGTATAATTAGCGAGGATGACGCTACCTACACAATTGAGGATCGGACGTCACAGGTAAGTTAGTCCGATCTATTTAATTAGATGCTGAACCAGGATCCCAGGCAGAGGTGTACACACGACGTCATGTCCAAGCCAAGTCCCGCATTGAGCGCTGTTTCGGACTACTCAAGGCTCGTTGGAGGTGTATGCTTCGACACAGAGTTCTCCATTATCACCCTTACATGGCTAGCAAAATCACTAAGGCATGTTGTGTTCTGCACAATATTGCATTAGATGCTAGAATACCACCTCCAAGTGATATGCCAGCTGGGGTCTAGAAGATAGGGAAGATCATGCTCTACAATATATCACCTCCAGTAATGATAACTAAAATGAATTAATCCGAGGCAGGGCTATGCGCAATCGCTTAGTTAGTAGGATGTAATGTAGGTGAATGAATAAATAAAATGACTATTAAATATTTTGACCTTATATAAGTAGTATCTCTACTAATAAAACATAATAATTATTTTAATCAGCCTATATACATCAACTGTTGGATGTTCGACAGTAACCAACCCACCAAAAGTAATTGCCGTGGGTGTAAGCAAGTTGGGCGGGTGACATCGGCAGAAAGAGGACAGTTAGTCACAATGCTTGGTTTCATAAATGCTTCGGGTGGCACTGTACCTCCGGTGTTTGTGTTTCCTAGGGTCTATTTTAAGGAATTCATGTTACAAGGCGGTCCAAAAGGGTCACTTGGCTTAGCCAACCAAGTGGTTGGATAACAGAGGAGAGTTTTTACAAGGCCATGCTACATAGAGGTATTTCAAATTAAAAACCGGACATTATAGAAAATCGCAAAAGTAATCTAATGCTACCCGAAACGCATTATTTTTTATCTACGATAACCGGTTTATTAAAAGGCAGCTACTTACCCCTTCTCAGTCCGAACACCGGACCGCAGCGGCAGTCGGAACACAACCGTTTTGTGTTAATTACGTGTCTTTGTTCTCGGCGATCACGTTTGTATTACTCAGTTTTTAAGCCAAAACGTCTTTGGGTGTCAAATAACAACAAAAAAAC